GTTTAAACATTCTAAGGTGAGTCAAACTAAAGGATATCATTTTTAACCAGCAAACTCTATAATGACCATGTGGAATTTGTGAAAAATTTCTATATGAGTATTATTTCAAAAAAGGTTCTAAAATAAAAACAGGTAAAAGAGGCAGAAAATACAGAATCAAAGTTGGTTTGATTACAGTTGGGAAATTAAAGATTAGTGGAATTTCTCAAATTTATTTTGGACATTATTTTTCTATTATTTTATTTTTATTATTAGAAATTAATTTTATTTATTATTTTGAAAACTTCTCAGAGTCAATCTTAAAATATTTCATCTGCCTTAATCTGGGAGTAGATGAAATGAGCTACCGTAGGTTTTGCTAAAAAAACAAATGAAAATTTTACACATTCATTAATAAATGTGAGTTGATAATTTAATTAGAGATTTATCAAATATTGAACTTATTGCTACAGAAACTGAAAAAAACATGCTAAATTATTTTTCCATTAAAAATATTCTTTTTACAACAATTTAAATTCGCAATGAAGAATATCAGCAAGTTATCTTCCTCCTCCCCCCCAAAAAAAACTGACTGCACATGGAATGAATACCTTGAAATTGGAAAATATATATATATAAAAAAAAAAAAAAAAAAAAAAAAAAATAAGCAGAACTTAAAATTGTCCCTTTAAACAAATGTAGACCTTGCTTATACTAGATCAAATGAAGAAGAAAAGCTTTTCTGAATACAAAGAACACTAATATTGGAAATAATTATTTCTGTCTAAATTTAGCCTTTAAACTTTGCCTTAAGAGGAAGAGAAGTCTACATATTCTTACATATAAGACAGTCTAAGTTTCGATGGATATCTTTTCTACAGATCATTTTAAACCCCTTCCAGATAGTAAGGATGAGAAAAACTGCATCTTCCCAATTGAAGATGCTATTAAATGGATAGAACTCTTGGCATTACCCAGTGCTGCTAAGGAGTGTGTCATTATCTTAGTTAAAATAGATTTTGTTAAACTACTGAATCCCTCACACAACCATTAGTGACACTGGAACTCAATTTATTTCAGTTGTAATGCAACATATCGTTAACACCTTAGATGTTTATCATATCCCAAGTCAATCCAATCCAACTGAAAGAAAACAAACTGAGATCTTGATCCACATCTAGTACCTTACTTCCAGACATTACAATTGTTCTTGGCCTGTGAACTCTCACAGTGACATGGCTTTCTGGACCTGTTCATGAACAACTGTATTTAAAGTTTCTATTAGCAATTACATATTTCTGTTACCATAAACTTCTATTCAGTATGATGATATTTACATCATTAAGAAAGTAAGATAATTTAAATTATAATCTAATATATACCAAGTAACAAAAAATCTCAGACTCGATAAAGGTAGCTATCTGACTCTGGGGTTAACAGTCATTCATTACTTTTAAAAACTTCAAAATCCAAACCTATCAGTCAAACAGCCACTTTCCTGAACTATGATATTCTACCACAAATAATGTCACCGATGATATTCATAAAGTAATTGAAAATGATAATTTTGTATAAGAAATAATGGCTTAGCTGAGAAAAATGTTCAAAATTCAAAATGCAAGCAAAAGAGGTAGCAGATAAGAAGCAAGACAAGAGAAAATAGTTTGCTAATCAGTGCTACAGATCAGTAAGAAATTTCAATCCAGAAGATTGTACATATGTAACTGTGGATCCAGTAAGACTGCAAGAGATAAAAGTGCAAAACTTTTATTCATATGAAATGGATCAAAAGCTATTCTTTTTCAGAAATCACCATCTTCATGCGAAGTGGCTAACAGAGAGGTTCTTGAGACCCCAATCAATAATATTTACCATTCCTCACGCCTTGAAAGCTTGGTAATTTACCAAGATTACTTATAAATCCCTTACAAAAACGTGGCCATTGAAAAAGATTTTACAGCCCTTAAAAACTTAAGCATGGTAATTCCTCATTGGGATGACAAGAAGAAACAAACGAGGGAAGAAGTTTACTATCAATATCCAAATCAATAATTCTTTAGTTCTAACAGGCACATGCAGAAGCAATAGTACAGACAAGATTCTTTGGAAAGAGATGACCAAGAAATAGACAGTCAACTAATAATTATGGAACTAGTCTATGCCGAGACCCTTTCATATTACAAAAAGGAATATAAAAGTATTAATTGTATTTGTAATTTTGCATTATATTGCTGTTACGTGAATGCATATAGTTTATACCCCATCTAGCAGTTTTAGTATGTCATGAGAATAACTCAACACAGTTCATGTATAAATAAATGGTTACATTTCCAAATGGAAACTCTAAATTTTCTTCATTAACCGCTTCCCTTACAAATTTTTTTGAAAAAAATTGCAAAAAATCATCACATTTTTTATTTTATTATTAAATACAACAAAACAAAACAAATCAAAATATGTAGGTTTTAAGCTTGAAGGTGTAAAAGCATTGTTTTAATATTAGTTTACTATTCCGAGTTATCTCGGGCAAATGAAAAAAAGTTAAATATTAGTCTTTGTATGATAGTTTTTGAAACAAGGGACAACACAAAGTGATACCTGACATTCTACATTGGTATCTGGTCTCTTTTCTTACTGGCTTTCGGAATCTCCTTCACGGGAGCACAGAGTACACTGTCTCGTTGGATTTGATTTTTTACAAAATTTTTCACACCTCTTCATAATCACTATCTGAAAAATCATCGTTTTCGCTATCTTGCATCATCACCATTATTATTATTTTTTTTTCAGTGCATGTATCTTTCTTTATACATTACTAATCCACAAGCCAACATATACTATACAATACAGAAACACGTGACCAGTCCCTCCAAAAGAACCGTGCAACCAACAAAATTTGGCAAACTGCAAATAGAAGCTGAATATTTCCTTTCATTTCCTCCAGGTCAAGTAAAACAGTGATAAAACAAATCGTACTAACAAATTCTGCTTCGCACAAGTTTTCATGGGATAATAAGTAACTGCAATACATATGAACCCGAGATAACTCGGGATAATCAGGCAAGCGTTTAAAAGTTAATTAAATAACCTTTCCATTTACAACAAATGGTGAGCAATTGGAGTCTCTTACTAGCCCTTTGCTAAATCCATCCCTAATTTACAACCCCTTTGTTCTTTCTGTTTGCTTGCCTATCCATTCCAAGAAAGACATGTCTGTGAGACATAGCGTATTTAAGTTAGTTTCCTCTTAAGTAAGCATTAGAATATCATCTCATTTTGTTTAAGCATATGCCAGTAAAATGGACTGCAGGTAACCTAAAATTTAAAAGGGAGCTGGAAAATATCTTTTTTAATAAATTTATTGTTGGATATCAAATTATTTAACACAGAGATGATGGAATCAAATCCCATTCTTTAATTTTCTATTAGAGATGAAATATAAAAGATTTTCTTAACTGCACAATGTATATCTCCTTATATGAAAACTTTAATAACAGTAATAAATCCAAACTTCATACAAAAATATTTTTGAAAAATTATTGCTTGGTCTCAAAAATCTTCCAAAAAATCAACTGACATGGAAAAAAAATCTACAGTAGCTTCTGAATAAACTGTGCCATATAAATAAATTTACTCAACATTTCATGTAATTTTTGTAGTATTTTGTGATTTTTAAAAACTGTGCTAATGTTTTCTTGTTGATGCATAATTATCTGTATTTTCTATTTTTGGAAAAAGTAAAATCAATGATTAGAATTCAATACAGTCAAAAGTCGTTAATCCGGACTCGTCGGGACTTCGGCGATTCCGGATTATCGATTTTTCCGGATTATAGATCATCAGTTTAAATCTCGTAAGATGGCATGCAGAAATTCTAAAATTAAAAATATGAAACCGTAATTTATGAAATAAAGAACAATTATGATCTAAAGGGTATCAAAATTTGCAAAAAAAAAAGCTTAATATTTATTTGTTTTACTTTATTAAACATTTTCTTTCAATGTAAGTTGTTAAGTTTTGCTTCGTTTCATGTGATAATACTTTCTCTTTAATTCTATTAAACAGACATAATTTCTTGTTCAAGTTACAAAGTTCCGCTGTTCAAGTCCTATAATTGCTGCGTCGAGAACACCGACTAATTTGTCAATCGAAATTTTTTCGTTTTCACTAACCTCTGTTACTTTCTTCGCTATCGGAAGTGAATTATAATGATGAGGAACTTGTTTTAAATCATATCAAAGACGGAGCACATCGAGACGAAATACTAATTTGGTAAGGAATTATAAGCCAAATAAAATAAAAACATCTGCCCTGAAGATAAGGATAGTGCTGACAGATCAATTTCCAATTCATTATGCGCCCGCTACGGCGCTCCCCCCGCCGAGCAGCGTGAAACTGATAAACAGATTTCGGATTTCAAAACATACTTTCGCTTTAGATCCTTTACATATTAACAAATATATATCGGAAATTCTATTTGATATAATCGAAAGTTTAAGCTTACTTTTATAAGATTGCTGTTACAGTCTGCAAAAAATAATAAGCTGGATTCAATTCGAAATTTAAGGAACAACGCAATCATCAACATTAACTGAAATAGATAATTAGATAATTTTAACTTATACGTCCATTATACATAAAACGCGCACGCGAAAACGTATTCTGCACTTGTGCACACTCATATGCGCAGTCGTAAAAGGTCTTACGCGCATGCGTAAACGCCTATGCGCATGTGTCAACGCGGCGCATGCGCAGAAAGTTTTTAGTTTTCAGGTCCGGATTATAGATCATTCCGAATTATGGGTGTCCGAATTAACGACTTTTGACTGTACTTGGTTTTTATACCATAAAGCCACCCTTTCCTGAAATGTTTCGAAGCTCACCACCATTTATAATCACAAACATATACACACATACTCAAATAAATAAACAGATAAGTAAATAAAAAAGACAAACATGTAAAATTTATCAAAATTTCAAAACAAATACAGAGAAAAAATTTTTCTGTATAAAACACATACTCATGAGATTCAGCGGAGCTGCTAATAGTATTGGTATCCTGAGACATGTCCTGAGATAACTCACTATACAGGGCAGGTATGTAACTGTAGGAAAACATATTTACAAAAATTTATGGAGAGCAGAAAAAATAATAATAATGAAACACATACACATGCATTACAAATATCTTATAACGTTTCATTTGTGGAATACCTAACAGTATAATTTGCAGCAAAACTACAAACAATATAATTTTTTGGGATAGAAAACATGACAAATTAACTCCTCCCCAAAAGTGAAAATATATCACTTTTCCATGCATTTTATGTAGAAAATTAAAGAAAATCATTATTGCATTAAATTTTTATTTATAAAAAATAATTAAATTCATATTGCTTAAGTAATAACAGAAATAAAAATATTTTATATGATTAGTTTTGAAATTCATATGGTTTTAAAAACTTTCAATTTTGATTTTGAATTGTGGAATCCTTCGATAAATTTGGAATACAAGGTACAAGAAACAGCTTAAAGACCATTGGTTTAAACCTAGATTTCCCAGTTCGCCCCCCCCCAATGGTCCAGTAAAAATATTAATAGCTTATTAGCAAATTAAACAAATTTCAGTGTTAAAATATTTTCCTTTATTGTGAAAGTAACCAATAATAATAATAATAATAATAATAAATAAGTAATAAATAAAAAATGTAAAAAATAAAGTTTTAATGGAAAGTGTGATACTGTTTCTTCTTTTCTAGAACTTTCAGGTCTATAGAAAAAGAGATGATAAATTTATTTGTCTAATTTGGTATAACAGCTAACAAATTTCTGTATTTATTTTTTTTTTAAATCAAGTGTCAAGAAAGTTGTTTCACTTTTGAAAATTGTAACAAAGGCATTAGAAACATAATTGTCTTTTGTACCAGAAATAGATACTCTTGACGTCAGGATAGACAAAAATTTATCAATGGTATTTGGTTGAATCCATACTTAAGCACTGTATCATGAGACAGTTCAAGTGTGGCTTCAAAATTTGAATCTATTAATTCTATCTCTGATTTTATTTTATGGTAAGTGTGAGAGGATTTCTTATCCATGCTTGTTGCTATGAATTGGAGGAAAATATTCTTTTAGATTTGCCTGCAATCCTGTCAATTAATTCTTCATATGAATTAAAATTTCATCAGGCACTGAACTACTACTGTATTCATTTTGCACTTCAGTTAGCTTCATTACAGTATCATAATTTCCTATTTCTACGAGAAGGGTTCACAATGAGCTGTTTCATTGCAACTTCTATCTTTTCTTGCACTTTAAATAGTTACATTGCCGCCTTGTAATAAAATATTTATTTAAAATATCAAAAATGTCACAAAGGTAATTTCATCAACCAATTAACATCACTTAAATTATCTTACAATTAAAATATTGCAGCTTTAGCTGTTCAGGAATGTTGGCTTAAAAAAACTAAAACTTTTGCCCTCATTTCCAAAAGCGTCTTCAAAACATTGCCTTTGGATAAAAACCTACTTCACAATGTTAAAGATGTTCATATTCACTGCCCATCTCTTTATATAATGCCCTAAAAATCTGATTTTCAAGGGACAATTGCTTTATAAAATTTATAAACTCTTGCGTAGCAATCTGCAAAAGCAGTGGCATTTTCGTTATGGCCAAGGCTTCTTTGTGTATGCTGCAATGCAACCACACATATTCGGGAAATAAGTTTTTTTCTTTGGCAAAGACCTGCATAGCACCATTGCTGCTTGACCCCATGCATTTTGAGTGATGTAAGTACCAATCAAGTTAAAAATTTCTTCAGCAGTTGCTCTCGTATTCAATGATTTGTAAAACAGAAATTCTTCATTAGATGTATTCTCAAAATGACATAATATTAAACTTTTGATATGTCTGTAATTTCATCGACATGAACCTGGGAGGGGGGGGGCGGAGCACAGTTTTAAGTGAACTACAAGAGTTTCTTTGATATTATCTGTTATATCTATGATTCAATGACTTATTGTGCTATTACAGAGACACATATTTATCCAGTTTTGCTGTTTTTTTTATTAGATATATGTGCATGTGTGTGTGTGATGCCAATATTTTCATTGCAGGAACTTTTTCACAAACGTATGAAGATATTCAGTTTCAGTAGATAACCCTCTGAGCGTTATGACCGGGTTTAGGCGGTCAAGGAGACCTGCGTCAAAATCGTTACGGACTCTTCTAGGCGGTCAAGGGAAATGTGTTCGAAAGCGTTATTGACGGTTTTAGGCGGTCAGTGGCAATGATATCGAAAGCATTATGAGCGCTTTAAAGCAGCCGTGCAGATGCCTCAGTGCCCCCCCCTTATTTCTGGAACCCTGGAGATCTCTAAATGACAACTCTCAGCAGGAGTCTAAGAGGGTTGCTCTTCTTCATTTTAGACCACTACGTTTTATCGCCAAGAAAGTGTTTAGACATACAACAAACTGACACGAACATTCTTCACTAAATAAATAAGCAGCATGTAAAAATTTCCCAATACTATCTTTAAACAGATAACATTTTCATAAAATATCCTTTAGATTTCAAACTAAATGTTCAGAGATATGCAAAATGCTTGTGAATTTAATTAAAAAAATAGCATTTCAAAATATTTGCATTATTTAAATAAATTTACTTATGATTATGTATATGCATAAAACCGGCAAGTTGAAAACTTTCAATTAATAGACATAGCAACTTCAATCATGAACATATAACTTAAGAGAAATTTGTTTTGACATGCTACGCGAAGGAATGACTAAATATTGATTGATTTTACATTTATGTTAAATGACAGTGATTAAAAAAGAATAGCCGTAGATGTGTAAAAAACCTGTTACTTGTAACCTTCTGTACTTCTAAAAGAAAGCTTAAAATGGTTCACAATAACGGATGGCTTTGATCATTCAGTAAAGTCATCATAGGCACATTCAGTTCGCGGTTTTGAAGAACTGCAGCAGTTCAGATTTGTCGCAAAAGAGTAATTACACCCCTGGGGGAATGCTTTACTTACGGAATGGAAAAACAAGTTTTTAAACATACGCACACAAAAGACATACCTTTTCTCACAACATAAATGGCAGCTGTGATAATTTGAACACATGCTTTCAATCAGTTGCTTCCTCCTAACAAAGGTTCCTAGAGAAAAGTCTTGTACTGTTTTAAATATGCTATGTTCGAGCATTGTGAATGCGTGTGTGTGTGTGTGATTATGGCAAAGCCTCGAGGGCTATCTGCCTAAGAGGAGGGATGCCTTCGTGGAGGACTTTCTAAGGGAAACTAGCTCGTATACACGTTACACATGGGGAAAACCACGAAAACGCCCATGCAGCAAGCCCGTTCGGCGGATTCGAAACTCGGACAGAACTACCAGTGTTCAGCGACTTTACCGCTCGGCCGCTGGTGGGCATATCGTGAATGCTTCCACTCATTATATTTAATTTGAAACAGTATTAAGTTGTTATTACTGGTTAAAATGGCTTAAAATAAATTGATACATTATACGAAAGTTTGTAAAAATGAAAACTAGATTTACTTTCTTTCACATAATTTCTTTTCCAAAATATTTTAAAACCTATTTTACAACATACTAGAAAAGTATACATTTTGGGAAATGCATTTGCTGCTTTTAGTTAGTAGTTTTAATTGGAGTTGTTATGTAAGAAGGCATTTAATTGTTGTTGCTGTGTTACAGTACTTATTTTATTGTATAATATATGTACTGTAAGGCAGCAATAATGCAAATATTGCTTTTCTTGTTAATATTTAATTATAATGTATAGAGGAACTTTAAAAAAGAACAAAAATAATTTTCACTGTTATAATATGTCCTTAAAGGGTTTCCTTAAAGGGTCCTTAAAGATAACTAAGTAGTAACATTAATAACATTATATCAATTAATTTACTAACCAAATATAATAAAAATTTCTAATTCAAAATCAGTCTTTAACTGAGTACTTTTCTCAGAAAGAAAAATATCCTCAAAAAATCTGTACTGGTAATACATTTTTTGGATAACTTCCTGAGAGGAATTCATTGATAATAATAATACATAGAATCCATTAGGTGCTTAAAGCCATGAAACAGGTAAACTTAACAACGCATTCGCAGGATCACAGTCATGGTCGGTTTGGTTTTTTAAATATGGGAAAGATATGAAGACTATCTACCTAAGAGGAGGGATGCCTTCGTGGAGGATATTCTGAAGAAAGCTAGTGTATTACACATGAGGAAAACCACGAAAACCAACCATGCAGTCAGCCCATTCGTCTGAGATCGAACTCAAACCAGGCCGAACTGCCAGTTTTCAGAGGTCTTAATGTTCGGCCATTGCTGAGGCCTTGGACACAATAATGAATCTTCAAACTTATTCAGCTTTTAATTCCACATATTCTCCTCTCTTAAAGACTGAAATTTGAATCATAGATCTTTCAGTTTACTAGTTGGATCTGCTACTACATGCACCACCAGAGGACGCAAGGCAAAAACGGGTAAGTCTTTATCAAATGTACCAGCACGACAGCATTATAAGATTTGTTGGACATCTTAACTTTCGAAAATGATATGGAATGTATTTCCAAATGGATATTATGTTCAATTATTTTTTAACTTGCTGATTCTAAACTGATCGTCGCCTTTTCAATCCCAAAAAAATTTCGTATTATATCTAGATGCTATATAAATCATTTTATCTACATATACTAAGTTACGAAATTTAACATTTACAGTAGTCCTACAGCAAGAAATTTCAAAATACACTTATGTCCATAAATTAAAGATAATGCAAAATCAGGCAAAGGAAGAGTTAGAAGCAAAACAAATTTCACTTATTTGTAAAGCTTATTTGTTAAACAAAAGGTAAAGAGCAAAAAAAGATGCTATATGTTTGATATTATTAAAAAAAATTAGCGATTTTTTCTCCCTGGAGCAAATTACAAAAAAAAAAAAAAAAAAAAAAAACTATTTACAAAAAACCAATATTACATGGTTGGTATGATTGTTAATACATTGTATGTCTCCCAGACGATGCAATACAGTCTGTACAACACCTAGGCATGCTGAGTATCAAATTATT